GGGGGGCAAAGAAACAGAGAGGTTCTGGTATCTCTCTGACTTACCTTTAGGGGAAAGCTGATTGACATTTCGTACACCATGGGAGTTACACCACCTTTTGCTCCAGGTGGGTGTGATCCACCGTGGAGTTCATAGTAGGCACTGGGCAGACATCTATGCGCTAATATTGTTGGTCATTGCAGGGAAGAAGTTTTGGCAGATTCGGTCTTGTGACCTTTTTTTTTTTTTTTTTTTTTTTTGTGTCTTTTTCCTTTTTTTTTTTTTTTTTTTTTTTTTTTTTTGTAAACCACCACTACCTTTCATTGGGTGTGTGTCTGGACCAGGTGCAGCAGCAGGACTTGGGCCTGTCTCTTATACACATCTAGATGTGTATAAGAGACAGGTATTTGAACAGTTCAATGGTGTACCCACTGAGATAGGCTATAGGGTGTAAACCACCACTACCTTTCATGACTGTCTCTTATACACATCTAGATGTGTATAAGAGACAGACTAAGTACACCAGGAAGGAGAATCCAAAGGAGCAACCGAAGGGCTCAGCAATTTTGTTAACCGGTAAACCACCACTACCTTTCATTGGGTGTGTGTCTGGACCAGGTGCAGCAGCAGGACCTGAGCAGCCAGTTCCACTTGGCCAGATCCTCCCGCGTCGCCATGGGGTACAGGGCGGCACAACTTGCCCCGGTGGCCCGATGCTCCCGCGTTGCTATGGGGTACAGGGCGGCACAACTTGCCCCGGCGAGTTACCAGCATTGAGTGGCCGCTCGGGCATGGCAATGGGAATAGAATCCAGCACCTACGCGGTGCCGCTCAGGCATGACATATACTGAGCTAGCCGACGGGTTGGGCGCGAATCGCCGGTTTTCGGACCCCACTTGGATGCACTTGACCGCAAAGTACGTCCACAGAGAAGTCGAAAAGGTCCTCATGTTAGTACTACAAGTGGACTCGCCTCAGCGTAGGACGACGACAAAAACATTTTGCGAAACACCCCAGACATTGGTTGGACCCCATCTTTGCAATGTACCCCTACTGGTGATCGTCCAACTTTGCAAAATGCCCCGGGAGTTGCCAACTTTTAGTGGGTGCAATTGCAAAAGGCCAGGGCCCAATTTTCAGGGACATTGTGACATATATCTCAACTTATGGGGGTGTTTGGCAAATTACCATCCCCCCAAAAAAGGCCGACGGCATCTTTTCAAAATTTGGAGGAAGATATGCCAGTCT